CTCCAGCGGTTCCTTCCACAGATGTAATCAATCTGATTCCTATGCATACCATCAGGTGAAATTCAAGTACATAACCTGCCTTTAAGTCTCTTAAAAAATGTATTTGCTATGAATAAGTCATTGAGCAAAATTCGATCATTCTCTCTCCAGCTCCATTTCTGTCACCGAGTCCATGTTTTCCAACTACTGACTCTTCTTCTCTGTTCCCAACTTTTGCATTCCAGTCACCCATTATTATCAATGCATCTGGATTGCATGTTTGATCGATCTCCGATTGTAAAAGTTGGTAAAAATCTTCTATATCCTCTTCCTTGGCTATGGTTGTTGGTGTATATATTTGGATGATACTGGTATTCACTGGACTTCCTTGTATGCATATGGATATTATCCTGTCATTGACAATACTGTACTTCAAGATGGATCTAGCAATGACTTTTTAACTATGAAAGCAACTCCATTTTTCCTCACCTTTCCATCTCCAGAGTAATTTATCATATAATCATCTGACTCAAAATGCCCCATGCCAGTCCATCTCATCTCACCAATGCCTAGCATGTCAATATTTATGCGTTCCATTTCTTCCTTAACAATATCTAATTTTCCTACATTCATGGTTCTCACATTCCATGTCCCAATCATTAGTCTCTGCTTACAACTGTTCCTCTTCCTTTTTATTTCCATACTTGAAAGCTCAACCTCAGTTGCCCCTTCTGTTATCTACATGTGTTCTGTGAACACTACACTAGAACAGATAAGGGGAAGAATTGTCCACAAGAAATGTATGATCAGGAATTATATGTATGACAACAATCTGTAACAAGAGGAACATTGTAAAGTGGTCTAGCAGAAGAGGAAGGTGAAGGGAGAAAAATGTGCGGCAAAGAACCAACTTTTCTCTAAACCTTCATTAAAACCACAATAAAACTAATTTTTAAGAAACTCAAAAACTCTAGGGCTTATTAACCATAACAAAAATGTACATACTCAATATTATAAATCCTCTATTTACATTCCTCCATCTGTTTTCAACTTTCAAGTGAGTATATGAACTGGTACTGCACACCAGCCTCTGGACCACTGGAAGTTAGCATACAACATTACGAAATGACAGAACCAAGAAATGCCTGTCTTGGCGAAATACATCATGAGGTTTTTAAATTTCATTTCAAAAATAGCACAAGCCCTTTTCTGCGAAGTGAACGAAAAACTGTGGATCTTAGAGAAACCATTGAGACTCATCCTCTGAACTCCTCCTGCACCATTAGAAAAGTGATGGCCTGGCAGGGCTGTGCTGGAAGGCTGCCTTCAATTATTAGTGTGGTTACTACCAACAGATGGGTACTCGTGCATCAAAGCCAAATTCAAGAAGAGGGAAAATCTGGCAAGCAGCAAGTACTTGAAAACTTGCTAGCAGCTGTTCTTTTTGCATATTTATGTTCATTTCATCTCTAAGTAAAATAACTTACAGTTTTAGTTCTCTAAGTCCCCCTCCCTTCACTGGCTAACTGGAAAACTATCGGATTAAGATGTCGTTCAGAAGACTGTCGCTCTGACTGATCCCAACACTGACAGGCTAAAGCTCATACCAGTTGCAGCAATGTTATTGATCAAAATGAGCATCATTAAGCCACACAAACTATAATCGCTTGTTTGTTCTTCAGGCTTAGAACAATCACCCCTCAAATGAGATCATAGGTGTGAAAGGAGAAACACCTTAAAGCATCTTAACAAGGGTAATGGAGCACTGATTGGAACTATCTCCCAGAAGTTAACATCAGTCAAACCTCAATGATCATATGAAGATCAGCATAAAAGAAGGAGTAGAATTTAACCACCCTACCTGAATTGATTTAAATGTTAATAAGGTATGGCACCTAGTTATTAACTAAGTCAGTAGTTCAAAACCATCAGCCATTCCTCACAAGAAAGATGTGACAGCCAGCGCCTGTCAATATTTACAGCCTTGGAAACCCAACGGGGCAGGACTGCTCTGGCCTATAGGGTTGCTGTAAGTCAGAATCAACCTGATGGATATACCAAAAAATTAATCAAATAGCATCTATAACTGGAGATAAGACAAAAAATCTGAAAAGACACTGCATCCCAAAGCTGAGTACATCCCAACAGAAAGATGAGAAGGAGAAAAGGAAAGAAAAGAACCAGGAAGGAAGGAGACCAGATTTCTGTTTATCTATCAATCTCTACCAGTTTCTGTCCATAACTGAAGACATTTAAATAAAAAGCTCAGTGAAAAGATTAACATGTCTCTCTCTTTACCAGCATTAGTTCTGTAAATATTTGTTTCTAATGAAGAAATGTTCAGCCAACCCTGGGATCCAGCAGGCTTATAATGCTATGGCTAGGGCCAGCCCAAGAATTTTAAAAGGCCAGAATTTAGAAAACGAGCATCTGAAAATGGATCTGTAGGCTGCCATCCACCAGCAATTAGTTTTCTGTAAGGCTGCAATCATGTAAGATTTGAATGGGTTGCTCATTATCAACAATGAGTTAAGCACACAAGGATATATTCTTCTCAGCATCTCTTACATTCTCACATGATTTGCAAAATTGGACATTATTCTGGAAAAATGCAGCAAAATTCCCTATAACCACATGCCAACATCCGAGCTTAGCAAGCAATTCCACCCAGATCAACTTCAATTTAGGAGCAGCAAGGGAAGCATCATTTCCTAGGGCCAGACAAAACAAATTTCAGTTTCTCCATGGCATTTCTGATCCCATCCATGAATTACGCTTAATACATCCCCTGATGGCATAAAGTTTGTATCGTGAGAGACCGATGATGCAAAGGATGTCTTTTTCCCCTTTCCCCAATCATTTTTGGCTGCCAGACCGAACTCCTTAGAGGACCTAATGCAGTACCTATCCCTATGCCTGGAAAGGTCCCCAAGCTAGTGTTTCCCGATCTTGACTGTCAAATGGTAGTATTTAATTGCCCAAACCCAATGCTACTTACTGGGCTGGCATTGGCTGCTAGACGAACAGCCTGTCTAAACCCTCTATTCAGTTTGATACTGTTAACTTTACCCTTGATTGAGCCACTAAATCACATTTCCAGCAATGATAATTTCTCAGCTTAAGCAGCATATTAGTTTACTAAACACTAACAAGGAAAATTTCAGTACAACTGTCACATTATTTCGGCATCCAAAACCTATAAGCATGCTAAACTCGTTTGTACTTCCTTATCATTTGATACAGAAAGTTACCCAGCAGCATAAAACAAGAGAAAGTCTCAACATTGTAAGTACACTATTGCCTCCTCATCATTTTGTCACTCATAAAGGGTGACAATAGTGTTAACATCGAAAGGTTGTGACATTTGTGAAGATCAAAGCAATAAACAGGCTAAGTGCTGTAATGTACTTCTGAGATGAAGTCTGGACAAAAAAAAAACACTTTACATACAATACTTAATATAACCATTTCTATACTATCAGGCCCAATGTACAGAGATTAGGCCTCCTGGGTGTGGGAGTTTAGTGCTCAATCACTAACCAAAAGGTTGAAAGTTCAAGTCCACCTAGAGGCACTTTTGAAGAAAGGCTTGGCAAGCTACTTTCAAAAAACTCAGCCACTAAAAACCCTATGGAGTGCAATTAACACTGACACATGTGGGGCTCACCAGGACTCGGAATCAACTCAACAGTAACCTGTCTGGTTTTCATAGAGACGAGGAAGGTCAGGAAGAAATGGCAAATGATGAGTCACTTTCCAGTGTCATCCAGCAGGTTAATGGTGGAGAAACAATGGCATTTCGGACCTCCCTCACTGAAGCTGCCACTATTTTATCACTAAATTATGACAATGTTTAGCTGAAGAATAATTTTTTATCCCAATTCCAATTCAAGGCGCAAGAGCCAGCTAAGACCTTGATATCATCTTAAAAATAGCGCACACAACACATACACTCCTTCCCCTGACCTCCACCAAATTAAGACAAAAACTACATTAGTCACCAGGCATTGCCCAAGGCACTTTCACAGAACTAACCTCATTTGACATAAAAACTCAGTAACATTCAAGCATGGCATGTGTTTCATTTAGTAAAGTCCATTGCAGCAGCTTTTCACGCTAACAAGTCAGACCTTGTGGGGATGAGCAAGTCTTCAAAAACACCTGCAGGACACTGTCCAGCTGACCACAACTTGGCCAAACACAGCATTAAAAGTGTTTGGACTCTGCTAAGTAGATGATTGCTTTTACAAAATGTTTTCACCAGGCAGCCAGTGGAGTAGTGGGAGAGCTACTGGCGGGCAGGGAAGCTCACAGAGGGCCGAGTCTGCTGCCAGTCTGCCTGTGGAAATGTTAGCAGAAGCATCTGTTGGTTGGTCCCCACTGGCAAAAAGGCAAACATTTGTTTTGCTGAAACAAACACTTCCATTTGAAAACGGTCGCTGATAAAACCCTCATTGGATGGGAAGTTCCTTTCCACTCGGGCTGCTGGCACTGAGGCACCCATCTCCAGCAGCATTAGCCCTCCGAGGCTCCGGTATAGCAACAGGCTCTTTGATACTGACAGATGCTCAGATTTTACAATCGCAATACACTCGCGGAGCCTTGGGGGCAAATACATATAAATTTCTCTCACCTAGGTAAAGAAATTGTTCTTTTGAAATAATTAAAAAAACAAACAACAAGAAATCTTTACAGGCCTCTCCTCCATTTTTCCTTTCAAAAAGGGAATTCCATCCCTTTGGGAAGTAACTTCCTAATAAATCTATCTTTATTACTTACTTTAAAAAAACCCCCAACTTTACAGCTTAAAGAGCAATCACAAGATATTTAAAGAATGAGTAAAATAATGATGACATGTAAAACAGAAGAAATTTCCACTTTCTTCTGTTGTGCTTCTTCCTAAAATTATAATGTTGATTTATGGCTCGATCCAAATTGCTTCAGTCTATTAACTGTCCCTAAGTAGTTCTTAATTAAGTCCTTCATAATAAACTCCAGTACGCTAAGTAAACTCAGAGAGATGCCAAATTTAAAGTATACATGAATAAAATTCTCTAACTAGGCCTCCATTTTGTATAATCCACTTTTAATAAATCTCCAAAGATACTGTCAACTGGTGCTTGCATGTACTGAATACTATGTTAATACTGGCTTCTAAAACCACAGTAAGAGTAATTTATAATTCTATGATGCTTTTACAAGAATTTTAAATCAAAAAAACTCTTCATCCCACAAGGTTTTCTGACACGTGATGCATCAAAAGTCAGCTCTTGTAAATGGGATTTAAATTATACTACCTGACACTAATATTGTTTCCTTTCACAAACAATCTTCTTTCCAGCCTCCCAGGTGTGCCAATTTATTCGTAAATATTTTTTAAAATGTGATTATATGGGCAAGTTCTGGTGGCCTAGTGGCAAGAAGCTGCACTGCAATCCCAGAGGTGCGCTGTTCGAATCCACCAGATTCTCTGCTGGAGAAGGAGGGACAATCTCCTCCTATACCAGTCAGATCCAACTGGACGGTACACACACACACAAATAATAAAAGAAATATGTAAAAAAAAAGTGATTATATGCATGCCTAATGAAGTCACATTTCCTAGACTTATACATACATATATATATAAAACATACAAACTAATTAATCTAAATGGAAAGTGGAAAAAATACTTAATACTCATTGTCACATTTTGTATGTACATTTTGAAAACATTCTGACAAAGGAACTATATAAAGCACAATAAATTCCTGAACAGCATTACAGAAAAGTAATCCTCACACTTCACCCTATAAGAAATTAGTCCTCGCCTCTGCACCTCACTTACCTCACTGCTTCTCCTCAGCTCATTCTCTTTGGCCTGGCTCACCTCTAGTGCCTGTTCATTTCTGCAGAATTTTTGTTTCAACTCTTCTAATGATTTTTCTAGCTGCTGCTTTACTGAGGTGACCTACGAAGGTGGGGGGAGAAGGGGGAGAAAACATAGTTTTCATTTTTAAAATTGATTGTTAAATATCAAAAAAGGTAATTAGATTTATTAAGTTACCTTTTTTTGATGAGACACAATACACATAACAGCTAAATATAGCACTATTTTTGCAGTCCTTTGGCAGGACCCAGCTTATACTAAGGGGGGAAAAAAAGATTTGGCCAGTAGAGTGACATAAGCAATACAATTTAACAGGTTTATCTGGCTGCTGGGTTGAAAACAAGATGGTAATGAAGAAAAGGCAGACAGTGTAGAGGTCATTACAGTAATCCAGATGAGAGATGAAGGTAATCTGAGACAGAAAAATGCAATCATACTCAAGTTAAAATCCAGAGACATATGACTCACATTTCTTAAATGAAGAGGAAGGGGACACATGGAGACTTTCTGGGGTGACTGGCAAGGCTCTATCTCCTGACACGGAAATTAGTTCAAAGCAACATGCCACATAAAACTAAGTTGTACACTGGTTCTATATAATTAACAATAAAAGTTTTAATATATATAGAATATAAGCATTTACAAACGTAAGCACATACAAATGTGTTTGTAAAAAGTAAGAGCAGAGATGAGCATTATAAAGAAGAAGAGAAGGGCTGAGGATGGCTTGGATGTTTTTTGTTTTTATATTTTTTTTTTATTTTTATTATTTTTTGTGTGCGTGTACCGTCAAATCAGATCTGACTGGTACAGGAGGAGATTGCCCCTCCTTCCCCGGCAGAGCATCTGATGGATTCGAACCGTGCACCTCTGGGATTATAGTTGCAGCTTCTTACCACTAGGCCACCAGAGCTCCCCTGGCTCGGTTATTTTTAGTATAAGTGATATGAAAAATAGAATAGCTGTTTGCAAGGATGAAGCAAGTAGAAAGAAGCAGATTTGAAAAGAAATACCTGGAATTTCATTATATATATTCAGGCAGAGCCATCACATGGATATGTAAAGCTATAAAACAGAGTGAGGTTCCTTTGAGAAAACTGCCTGTAATCTTCAATGCTTCACTATTTATCACCAGGCACAGACTACGTGGGAGAGCTCCTATCTGCTCACACAACCAAGAACCATCAAAATATCAGAGATGCAGACATTCAGGACTGAAATTCTAACTCCATTCTTTCTCTACACAAGAAAACTGAGACCTAGAAAGCTTCAACTTTTTTCATTCCACCCAGAAGAGCAAACAAAATAGTTCTTAAAAGGAATTATCTGTCAGGTATGATAAAGGAGTAAGTGAAAAATCAATTAGCACCATACTTTATCCAGCTCAGCCTGCAGGCTATTGTGTGTATTCTTGGATTGCTGTAGCTCCTGACTGAGTTTGGCTTTCATCTGAGTGCACTCTTGGTCTAGGGTTTGGTAAGACCTCTGTTGGCAAGAGAGCTCCTAGGAAGGGAGAGAGAAGAAAAAAAAGGAAAAGGTGGGAAAAAAACCACACAAAACACCTCATTAAACTGATGATAGTTTAAAAAGGAACATTTCAGGGTGACACACAGTGCTCCTGGCAATGCCATACTGAAACCGATAGAGTAGGTAACCCAGTCTACTCTCCATTTAACAACATAATCAGTCCTAGCACTGGTCCCAAAATAAAACCCAAGGCGAAGGGAAGGAGTTTACCAGTTGACTACAAGTACCTGGTCTCTCCCTCATTCCTGAATCTTAACTATTCATCTCTATTTTGAAATATCCTAGGGCAAAAAGAAGGCAGGCTTAATTTTGATAGTCGTAACTCTGCTAAAAAATAACACTCATTGAAAGAATCTGTTCTATAAAAATGATATATCTAAATTTTTTTAATAAACTAGTATTAAAAAAGTAACACTTAAAACTGAGATTTGAAATATCAAATGTCATTTAGGACAGAAAATATATAGCACCAATTAATTTAATCTCAAAACTATATACGCACTAATTAACTTACATGATCTCAGAAAAATACTTTTTCTTTTTTTATATTTATTATTAATTTCAGTAAAAATTTACAGAGACTTTGGATTTCCATTCATTCATTGTTGCACTTTTCTCCCCTCCCAACCCTTCCCCCAGTACACTACCCTCTTGTAAAACAAAAATTCTTTTATTGTTTTACAAATCCTCCCTCAAGGTCCACTCCACCATGTAGCCTTCACTCTAGCCACCTGTCATGACAAATATACCTAATCACTTATCCCTTTTAAACAGTTTTCTCCCTCATCTATTTCAATGCAGTATACATTATCGAACCCATCTTTCTCAGTCTCCCCCCAACTCCGATGTCAGTCCTGTTTTACAATGGTGGCACCATGGAGTATTTGTCCTTTTGTGACTGGGATACTTCACTCAGCATAATGTCCTCCAGAGTCACCCATTTTGAATAATATCGCATGAGTTCCTTGTTTTTCAATGCTGCATAGTATTCCATTGTGTGAATATACCACAGCTTCTCTATCCATTCGTTTGTTGATGGGGACTTGGGTTGTTTCCAACTCCTTGCTATTGTGAATAAAGCTGCAATAAACGTGGGTGTACATATATCTGCTTGGGTGACAGTTATGGTCTCTTTGGGGTATATTCCCAGTAGTGGAATTGCTGGGTCAAATGGTATCTCTATTTCTAACTTTTTTGAGAAAGCGCCATACCGCCTTCCACAGTGGTTGCACCATTTTACACTCCCAACAACAGTGAATAAGGGTTCCAGTTTCTCCACAACCACAAGCCAGCATTTGATGCTTTCTGTTCTGTTAAATTTTACTATTCTGACTGGGGTGAGATGATATCTCAGAGTTGTTTTTGGAAAAATACTTCTAGTCACTCTTATTCAAAAAGACTTTTTTTTTAAAAAAAAAACAACTTGTTAGTATGTTCATAAAGTTCATATACACTGTGTTTCACATTATTGTTCATTCACATGCATTATGTTTTCTAAAATTAATCACCACTGGACCTTCCCCATCATCACCCAACTTTTCAGGTCCCACTGGATCCTTCCAATTTCTTTCACCCCCTCCGTCCAGCCACCAAACTCTGCAACCCTGTGGTTCCACCCTTACCCATCCTCACCTCTCTGATCCCATCCCCTGGGGTCCCCATACATGTTTTACTAATTATCTTTCTATTTTCCTAATGGTTTTAAGCAGTATTTGTCCTTATGAGACTGAGTTAGTTAACACAACACAATGCTTACCAGTCTCTCCCAAAAAAGGCTATATTCTTTATCTGTATAGGACACTTAAGGATAAATCACTTGAAGACACTGGAGGCAAAACCCAAAGAAGGCAGTACATCTTTTGCCCCTACCTTCTCTTCTGACTTCTTTCCCCACTGTGTCAACTAATTTTCTCATTATTTGCCAACCCAAAGCCTTTAAAACAGCTGGAGAAGGTAATATAATTTCTCTCACAGCATGCAACGTATTGGAAAAAAGAAATATGGTCCTTTCCTGCCCAGTATCAAATGTCACACAAATCAGGAAGCAAGGATAAACAATTTCTGATTTTTATTCCCTTCTCCAAAAACAGAAAGAAAACAAAGTGAACTTTTGCTCATGAAGCATCTCCTTTCTAACAGAATAATCCTAGACTAAGAAAAAAAGTCCCCCTTTATAAATTTTCAAACTGTGAAATGTTGACAAGAGCCTTCCCAACAAATATCTCATTAATTATCCATCTTACCTGCTGAAACTCCTTTTCTTTTTCTTTGATTTTCTGTTCCAAAGAATATTTGGCACTTTCTGCATTTTGCCGTTGACAACTCAAATCTTCAGTCAGTTTTTTCAGTTTTTGTTCCACTGCAATACACTAAAACGAAAGAAATTTTTCAACACAAAATGAAATTATTCAAGAAAAATATTAAAACAAATACTTGTGGTTTAGGAAGATCAGCCCTAACACATGGTTTGTCACTGGGGTGTGAACAGTTTTACACAAAAGTGTTTACAAAATGAAAGCATTAGCTGAAAATTACTGTAATTATTGTACAGCACACATAATATTTATACTAGGGGAAACATTAGCAAAGATGTGACATGTTAGCTCATTTTAAAAAAGTATAATAATTAGCACTATGAGAAAATGAGACCAGCATTTCAGGACAAAGAAGCATACAGCATTTTATTGCATTAAAATAAGAAGTTAAAATGCAGTGTTGTTGACCTGTTTGATTTTAATTTTAAAGCCTGAGAAGAATCAATGGGTTCTTCTACCCTCAAATAGCAGTCTTTTTCAAACATTATTAATTCTGTTAGGGTATTTTTATTTATTAAAATGATTCCTTCCACAAAACACCAGTAAGTCACTCATAAAATTCAAGAAGTTCATAACACTTCAGGAAAAAAATCCCAAAAGGTTCTTAATTAAGCCACCATAAGTAATATAGAGAACATTACCTTGTCTGTACCTTTCTACGTAGCTAGTTATCCCTGAAAAAGCCCTGGTGGCCAGTCTACAGGAAGTTGTACTGCTAACCATCTCTCTGACAGTTTGAGTTCACCATTGACTCAATGCAAAAAAGATGGTCAATATTTAGTCTTAGAATGCCACTGGAGGGTCAGCTATGACTTGGTTCCAACTCATAGGCAAACGAGCTTTTAAAACATGAACCAGTTCCCATTTTAGAGGCTTCTAAAGACTTGATTACAACAAAATGGTCTGAATTCTTCAAATATTCAAATGTTTAACCCTATTCCTCTGAATCTATCCCATGTGTTCGAATCCTTAAAGTGTCCATACAGCAACTCTAAAGTCCTGTGTAGGAGTAAGAATGTTTCCCATTGGTTGCATTGGTTCTAAAAAATATGTCCCAACTTGACAAACTGTCCTCTACTAATGGAATTCTAAGGGAGCACTAGTGGCCTAGTGGCCAAGAAGCTCCACTGCAATCTCATAGGCTCACAGTTGGAATTCACTAGCTGCTCTGTGGAAGAAAATGGGCAATCTCCTCCCAGGCGATTAACTGCCTCTGAAAACCCAATGGAGGGGCAGCTATGGGTCAGATACCACTAGACAGTACACAGTAACAGAATTCTAAGGCTCTTTAATCTCATTTTGAACCATTAGTATTTCCAGAATTTTACACTAAAAACTGTTAAGACACTTTTGCAGTACTTTGCCAGAGTACCCATCATCAATACTTATCACCTGAACAAAATAAAAAATCTGGCTATTAATGGCTAAGTGATTTAGAAATAATAAGATTTTAGTAACAGGGCATTCGATAAAAGTAATATACGGAGTTAAATTGCTCAAATGAACACACTGCTGTAGAAAATCAGAAACTTTGTTCCTCATTGTCCTTGAAATTTTACATCCCTAAGGAACAGAATTCAGCGACGATGACAATAAATAGGAATTCAAAAACAAAGTGCCAGCTATATATGAAGCACTGTTCAAGGCACTGGGGATAGAGAGGTAAACCCAAAAAAAAAATTAACTGTGCAAATCACTATCCCAAATTTCCACTTCCGAAGACAATTCAAGCGTGGCGGACGAGAGGAATGAATTCTTGGCTCCCTCTGCTGGTGTTCCTTAAAACTGCAAAACGTTCTACTAAACAACTATGAAATCCACAATTCTTTCCTCGTAGAAACCTTATGTTTTAGGAGGGCTTGTAACTGTTTTCTTAAAGTCTTGAAAAGGTATTCCATAGTTAGTTATTTATGTATTTTTTTTCATGATATGCTAATGTCCACAACAGGGAAGCTTTAATGGCATAAGGAGTTTCAAATCCACCAGAAGCACCACAAGAGAAAGGTGGGCACTGCCCTCCTCAAAGGTCAGAAACACAGCGGAAGGTCAGCTATAAGCTGGCTCCAGTTTGAGTTTTTCAAAAATTTCCACAATAAGTGCATGTATGAGCAACTGACCACTAGGTGTCATGCATGTTCCATATAAGTTGCAGTTAAAAACTGCCACTGAGTTACTTCTGACTCTCAGCCACCTTTGCAGGACAGAATAGAACTGCTCCAAGGGTTTCCAAGGCTGTAAATCTTTATAAAAACAGACACATCTTTCTCTTACAGAGTGGCTGCTAAATCCAAGTTCTACTGACATTTTGGCTAACAACAGCACAATGCCTCAACCACAGTGCCACTAGACTGCCTCAAAGCTCAAGTGCTACAAATAAAGACAGAATTGGAACTCCCCTATACCGTGCACTTAAGTTTCTCATGGAAACATGGACAGTAGGTTCCACATTCACTAACCCTGAACACTTCTGCAGGAGTTCATACCTGTCGTTCACATGATGTGTGACCATGTGAAAAACCAGCACACCAGAAAAAGCATACATTCCACAGTATCAATTTTCATTGATTACTTAGTTTTATACTGGTTTATTTACAAAGTTCATATACATCGATTTTCTTTTGTTGTGGTTGTTTTTATGTGCCATCGAGTCATTTGCAACTCAATAGCGAGAGAATTTTCTTTTATTAAGTTCTATTCTACTAGAGAGGAAATGACCACAGAAGAATAGAGAATTACATAATGAGAGCATAAATTTATTTCAGAATGCTTAAAGACAATATGGAAAAGGTGGATCTGATTTTTAGTTAGGGGGACCTGTACCTTACTTGGGGAAAAAGAGCTCAGAACTGACAGAGCAAAGGAATCTTAGGTCCCTGGACAGACATTTTTGAACAGAAAGCATGCCTGTCTGAGCCAAAATTTTTCACTGTTAAGTTGGTGAGTACTTAAGTTTTTCATTACTAACATCACCAAGTACTTAAAAGTAGAACATGGATTCAGCAAGCCAACAAGATAAAATGTAAAAAGATAAATGTAAACGCTCACGCTTAGAAAAGGCATCACACGACTAAAATGCAAAATGAACATATAATAGCTACTCTTGTAAGTTTATCATGTACCAGGCACTATGACAAAGATTTTACAGAAATTATTACAGCATTCACAACATCCCTATGAAACCAGCATCATCATCATCATTATTATTATCATCACTTTACTGATGTGTACTTAAGTATGAGAAAATGGGGCATAGGGACATGGGGCCATGAGTGTCTCCCTGAAAGGTCCAGATGGAGTAAGAATATCACAGCCCCTCTTTACCCCAGAAAGCAGAAAATTCACAGCCCAGCTCCATGGTGCCTCTAGAGCCACACCCACAGCAACAGGTTCACCTATTCATTTCTGACTCACAGAATCATAGTTACAGTACTAACAATGGGGTTTATTAGGGAAGGAAATTGGAGACTGGGGGAGGTAAAGAAAGAATATCTCACAATTCAAATCCAGGCCCCACAGATGCAAGGCACAATTCCTCAATATATCCAGGCTCCAGTTTCAGCGGCGAAGTCAAATCCAAATTATCCATCAAGGTTTTTGCCTCAGACCAATTAGTAGTCAGCTTCTTCAAACATCTGGCAAAAACACTCAAACCTTTAACTGTGGCCAGCACAAATGCAAAAAGCCTGAGGTAGAACTTTGCCACCATTTGTCCACAGCAATGCCACAGTCTCTCCACCACCAGGATCTTGGGGCCACAAGCCTTGCTTTCCTAAGTCTTGCTGCCCAATATGGGAAGCATCTTTCCTTTTATCCTAGTCTCACAGCTGTCGATGGCTTGCAAGACCATGTGTCTGCAGTTAAGGTAGCTGGAGACCAGAGGCAAATAAAATAGCTTTAAAAAAAAAAGCCAACTTTCAAGCTAACACCATAATGAGGGAAATGAAGTTCAGAAGTTAAACAGCTCCAAACACAACACAAGGACATTGTAGAGGTAGCACTCAATTCCAAGCAGTTCTCATGTACAAGGTCAAATTACTATTGCAAACTCAGACTGCATGAAGAGAACATGTGACTTTAAGGAGGCTCTTGTTTCTTCACTACTCAGTCAAATATTAATCAGGTATTTCCCTACATAAAAGAAAGAGCACATTGAAGGAGCAGTACTGGCTAAGAGATTGTACAGTTAGCCCAAAGGCAGGCAGTTCAAAAGCACCAACTCCTCTGAGGGAGAAACTTGGGAAATCCCCCATGCTATTTTATGGGCTGTGAAAACCTGCTGGAGGATCAGCAGTGAATTGGACAGAAGGGAACGAGTAATTGATGTGTCTAAATGAGACTAAACTTCCCAAAAAGTATAGTGGTTCATTTTTCTTACACCACTTGCTAAGAACATCTAAGAATCTAGACATTATAAGACATACATAAGAAGGCTCTGAAAGCAAAGAGAAGGCACACTGAGTAGGAACCTTGGGATCAAGGATCAACACAAATAGCTCCAAAAGAAAAGAACTGTCAGATCAGAACCCTATATCCAGCAAATACATCCTTCCCAAATAGAAAGGGACATACTCTCAAATGAAAAAGAGTGAAATAATCACCAACAAGCCTAATCAAAAAGAACAGAAGTTTGCTAAATAGCAAGGAAATGACAAAAGAAGAAACTTGGGAAGGAATCAGGAGGAAAAAGAATACAAATGACAGTCCAGGCAAATAAAATGGACTTTGCTTCTCTTTCTCCTAACTCTATTTGACAGTGAAAGCAAACTTAACACAATTCTAAATATACTTCTTCCTCCTTATATGCAAATGTTGTATTCACAATTCTTCTATTTGCCTAAAATAAGTAATACTCCCAGCACATTCTCAGTAATTTACACATGCCCATGCTCAAAACTGGGGGAAATTTCCCACTGAGGCCATACAACGTCTAGACCACAACTGCTACAAATATTAAAAAACACAAGAATACTATTAAGTGTATACAGAGGAAAAAAACACACTAAAGACAGTTCTTATAAATTGTACAAGCAAAATGAGGTTCCTCTCCTATACTA